TCGCTGGAGGTAGCAGAAATGGTGTCTGATGATCTTCTGGATATGGATGCTGGTGGGATGGTAGGTATGGACAAGGGGAACCCTATCACCTTTATGGGAGGGAAGAGTGGGGGTTGAGGGCGGAAGTGCGGGAGATGGATTAGACCTGGTTGAGGGCCCTGTCAACAATGGAACTGGGGAATCCTCGGTTGAGGAAGAAGGTGGACATTTCAGAAGCTCCCTTGTCGAAGTTGGCCTTATCTGAACATATGCAATGGAGACAGAGGAACTGAGAGAATGGGATGGAGTCTTTACAGTAAGCACGGTGTGAGAATGTGTAGTTCAGGTAGCTGGGAGTCAGTGGGTGTATAGTGGATATTAGTGGCCAGTTTATCCCCAGAAATGGAAACAGATGTTGAGGAAGGGAAGGGAGGACTCGGAGATAGACCAGGTGAAAGTGAGGGCAGGGTGGAAATTGGAAGCGACATTGATGAAGTTTTCCAATTCCAGACGAGAAAGGGAAGCAGCACCAATGATGTCATTGATATATCAGAGAAAGAGTTGTGGGTAGGGCCAATATAGGACTGGAACAAATAATGTTCCACATATCCATGAAGAGACAGGCATAACCGAGGCCCTTTCGGGTACCCATGGCCACCCCTCTTACCGAAGACAATGAGAGGAGTTAAAAGAGAAGTTGTGGAGAATGAGGACAAGTTCAGCCAAGCGGAGGAGGGTGGTGGTGGGTGGGGATGGTTCAGGTCTTTGCTCCAGGAAGAAGCTGACAGCCCTAAGACCCTCCTGGTGGGGAATGGGCATGTAAAGGGATTGCACGTCCATGGTAAAGAGGAGGCAGCTGGAACCGGTAAACTGGAAATTTTGAAACCGGCGTAAAGCGTCAGAGGAATCACGGATGTACCTGGGCAGGGATTAGACCAGGGAAGAGAAGACCGAGTCAAGGCAGGAAGAGATGAGTTCTGTGGGGCAGGAACGAGCTGAAACAATGGGTCTGCCTGGACAGTCCTGTTTGTGGATTTTTGGAAGGAGGTAGAAGTGGAGCTGTGCAGGGCTGGGGGACCATCAGCTTGGAGACAGTCGGGAGGAGATCACCAGATGAAATGAGATCAGTTACCGTAGTTTGTACAATGGCCTGCTGTATCATTGTTGGGTCATGGTCCATGGGAAGATCGGAGGAGGTATCTGAGAGCTGGCGCTCAGCCTCTGCAATGTAGAGGTCAGTACGCCAGACTGCAACAGCACCACCCTTATCGACAGGCTTAATAACAAAGTCAGGGTTTGATCTAAGTACATGGAGTGCAGTCAGTTTGGAGGGAGATAGGTTGGATTTGGTGAGGGGGGCAGTGGCAGAGAAATTGAGGTAACCAATATCACATTGACAGTTCTCAATAAACAGATCAAGTGCCGGTAAAAGGCCAGAGGGAGGAGTCCAGGTGGAGGGAGAGTGTTGGTATTTTAAAGTCCAGCTCATTCACTCTGACCATACATACAAACCTGTATCTGCTCCTTGAAGTCTTTAGGAATAAGGTGTGAACTTGTCAGTTTTTTTAAAAAGCTGGAGTTTTCCTGTTTGGACCCAGTGCTGACAGACTAATCAATCAATAGCCAATTACAGCCATCACCTTCTCTCGGGATTCTCCGTGCTGTGTTATGATTGGGTGCAATCTTCATGTTCCAATCCTTTGAGGATGGAATATTGAGGTGAAGATCGCTAGGTGACTGGAAGTGTAGGAATCACTTGAAAAAAAAACAAGTCTAACATTCTATTTGACTCAACTGTCAAGTTTCTCCTGACCTGATTGTGTTGGATTCACCCTTTTACACTGCAGGAGCTGCTGAATTTAGGAAGTTCCAGTCCTCCATTGTTTGCATCTCATTCTTTATTTTTTTTTAACCTGCCTATATTTTATTTTATTTCTATTTCTCCCCTTTTCCCTCTTTTCCAACCCTTCCCCTTGTGTCTTTTACTGTTGAAGGCACTGGAGCAAGATTCCAGCAGTGTAAGGCTTGTCCCCTTCATACCGTGTTTTCATAAGTGAACCTATTGGGGTAATGTGCGTTGGCAGCTGAGTGGCTCAAAGAATCATTCTCGCATCAACAGTCAATGGGATTGTGGTTCTTGACAGGAATTTAGTCAATAATTGAACACTAAGCCCGATTCATTTCTTACTGAATCTCCAGCAAATAATTCAGAAGAAATGAGTGTCATTGGAATTCTTTTTTATGTTTTAGCAGAATGAAAGATCCTCTGAGGGGTTTGCCTCAGGGATCTTCAAAAGAGGGCCTGCAAAAAGGAAGCACAGGAACAGTGACTCTCAATGATATAGAGGATGACAGGGAAAAGGACTCTGAGGCCCCTCCAGAGGTTCCAACAACTGGCAACAGGCATAATATGTATTCGGATGACCTTCACAGAGCACGAGTTAAGATGATGAAGAAAAAGAGGTAACTACTAAACAAAAAGCAAACTTAGTCTTTTATTTAGATTCCAGATGGTAATTGTCAAATTTAACACAACTGTTTTTTTGTCCCCACTTAGCGGGTGAATGAATTGCTCATGATGCGGCAGAAAGATTTGGAAAATCCTAGTGTATGTTGAGTTGGCTGCCCTTGACCTTGGGACATTAGCATTAAACTGTGTGCGTATGATAGAGAGGAAGGGGTGGAGAGTGGGTGATGCTTCAGTCAGTTTTTTTGCTTCCTCTGTAGTATGAACTTGAGTGGTGTGGTGGCAGTGCCCCTTGTTCAACAAGTTCAAGCCTAGTTTGTCCTGGAATTGTGTCATAACATGTCTGAACAAGTTGATTTCAAAATAATTGTGATTATAAACATTGTCTGAGGAACAGGATCTTCACGCAACTGTGAAGTTGACCATGTTGAACAGCCTGTTGACGATCTTTCATACAATGAATGTCCAGGAACTCTGGTATGATTCGCTTCTTTCAACATTGTTATGGGGTGGGGAAACATTTGTGGGTAAGAATCATTTCAGTCTTTATTGATTAACGCAATATGCAGTGCAAGCTAGAGAATTCTCTAAATATTTCTCGAGCAACACAGATAAATTTCTCCTCTTGTGTACTATTGAACACCTGTTAAATCTCTCCTTAACCTTCCCCGCTCGAAGAAGATCAATCACTGAATCCCAACAGTATGTAAGCAGGCCATTCAGGCCTTCAAGTCCACACTGACTCTTCTTCAAACACTTCTGCCAACTCCAATTAGACCCCACCACCCGGAACATCTTTGGGGTGTCAGGAAGTGAGTTACTCCTCTCTGACTTGCTCTTGTTGCCACAGTATTTATATGACTGGTCCAATTTAATTTTTGATCAGTGGTAACCCACAGGATGTTCACTTTGTGTTCAATAAAGTGAGATACCTTTTAGGAGGAAGGGGCGGTATTATTAATAAACAATAGGCTTTGTACCAGTTGTGAGTTTAGTAACATCTTGAGTATTAACAAATATCTGTGGAAGTGAGATAAAAATTAAGTGCATCGACTCCCTGCTCCTCACCTCAGAGACTCTCCAAATTTCCCAAAACATTTCTGACAAGGCTGGAATTGAAACCAGGTCCCTGGTGTTATAAGGCAGCAGTGCTAACCACTGAGCCACCTTGTTGCCCTATTAGGAAGGTGTCCAGAGACCTATGGCTCTGGTACAGGAATAGCTGTACTCTTGTGAGAGCAGGTGGCTCAGAGACGAGAGGAGTATGTTGGAAAAGCAAAAGTAACAAATGAAATTAAAAAGAAGGCAAGGACATTGACAGTTGTTATGAGGAAAGGATATTAGCCAATGAGTAATTTATTGGATGGCACAGTTCCTGACATAACCAGTCAGTGTTCTTCAAGAAGACATTGCTTGTGAGGTGCTTTGAAATGTGAAGTTTATACATTAAAAGATTTTCTTTTAAATTCTTTTGTCATTTGGTCTCTGTTTACATCTTCGTTTGAACTCTGCCTGAATCTGATTACTGCTTTCTAATCACTCTGATACATCTTGGTTAATCTAATGATCCATTGCCCATACAACAAGACATCACCACAATTAGAAAATATATGAACCAAAAACAGAGATTTCTGAAGAAACTTGTCTGGCAACATCTGTGGAGAGGGAAACAGCATTTCAAGTCCAGTGATCCTTCCTCAGTTTTGACAGATCTACTGTGTTTCTCTAGCAATTTCTGCTTCTGTTTCAGATCTTCAACATCTTCAATTTTTTTTTAGAAAATAAATTAATTCATTCAATTTATTGGCGGATAAGCGATACTAATCAAAGGGTTTAAAGTCTTTAGATTGTCTAACAATAAGTTGGAGTGAGATATTGGACAACAGAGCTTTGGTTTCAAAAGGAAAAGGAAAAGAACTGGGAATTTTGATCAAGGAACTGAACTAGTGGCTTGGGGCTGAAGAGTGACTTTTAAATATGAGGCAGGAAGTATAGAAGGGGAAAGACAGTGAAAACGGAATGAAAGAGAGAAAAGTGATGAAGAAAAGGAGAGAGAAAAAAGACATGCGTCAAATGGGGTGAGTGAGCAGAGTTACACACCAGAATTCATTCTAGACACAACAGAAACTGTGCTTCAATATGCACCAGTGTTCAGAGTTTTGGACTGTTACATTGCAATTACCAGGTATTTTTTAATTATATACTATTCAAATAAAGATAAAATCAAAAAAACTCCCCTTCTGTTTCAACAACAGAACGGTAATTGTGTACCAGAACAGAATCTAATCTCTCACCTTCTAGTATCCTTTAGAGGAAAGTAGTTTTAAATTATCCCTCCATTCTCCTGTAGTCACCTTGTCAGATGTTGACTCATTCATTACACACTGGAAATTAAAAGAAAACCTGTTTATTTATCTAACATCATTTCAGTGCCCCCAGAATTATGATACTTGAGGGTGGGAGAGAGATAAAGAAGGCAGTTGTCTTTATTGAACCAAAGCTCCTTGTGCATGTGTCTGTCTCTTTGTATTTTTCCTGTTTCAGATGAATATGGATCAATCTTACAAACTGCAAGCAATCCAGTGGTGAGTATCTGCAACTCTAGCCGGCCTTTACTGTGACACCTTCACTTTCCTCCTTCTTGGAAATGCCCAAGCTCCACAATTTCAAATTTGGACCCTGCCCTAATAACTAGGACTTTGCTTTCAAAACAGGCTGTGCTTGCTGACACCAAGGGACATTAACATTAGCAGCAGCATCTTACATAAACATAGCAACAAATGCCAATTAATGATTACATGAAATATTATAGATTATATCAGGTAAGAGAAACAAAGTATTAAAGTAGAGTTCTTTTATTTTTAAAAATCGGCTTAATATTGTGTGCATGTGCAGTTGGCAATCATCAGTGCAGTGATGTCAGCAAACATTGTTCAAAAGAGCCCAACTCAATAAATGTCTTGTAACTCCCTTGACAGCTGGTTGGGTAAATGTCTTTTTCAAAACTAGGTGATGTGCATCTGAAAGCTGTTTTGTTGAATTCAAACCTGTGCTGAATGATCAGGGGAACTGACTGAAGTTGGGTTGGCGGTGCGGCGCTGTTTTAGGTGGAGGTGAAAATTAGAGGTAGGGAACAAAGCTTTACAGAAATTAACTAATGGATAAAAGGCTCCTGGTCATATAAAAATAAATGAGATTCTGTAATGTCTTGCCTCATTCAATAGCATTCTCCTTAAAGCAGTAACACAGATGATAGTGACCAATGGAAACAGATATAAGGTAATTGTCAAAAAGAACATTAGTGAAATGAGAATTTTCCTTTGGTATAGCCATTCATTTCACTCTGGACTCCACTGGCAGTGGAAGTAGATTCATAATAAAAATCTTTGCAATGGAATTTAACAAATATTAAAAGGGAAAAAGGTTTGGACAGCTATGGAAAAGGAGCAGGGAATCCTTCCAAACAGCCAGTTTAGGCTAAATGACCTGCTCCTCCTGGGCTGCACTTTTCAATGATTTCAGATTCCATAAATACAAATTATCCCTCATCAGTGAGCCTAGATGGTAAGTCAGTGGAAGATTGTGTCATGGGCAGGGTCCAGTCAGAGCTGAGTTTCATGCTGCTCTCAATTTATCTCCAAGACATTTCCGAGTTATGAGCTTCTGAACATGAATGAGATTTGTTTGACTCATTCATGATTCCTCTAATCTGCACACATCCCCATACCCCTCTTCCCCCAGTTCAAGAGCAGGAAACTGATTGATTGCATTTCCTGAAGAAGCATCCCGACCCAAAACGTCAATTTTCCTGCTCCTCTGACACTGCCTGGTCTGCTGTGATCCTCCAGCTCTGCACTGTGTTGTAACGGATTGTCCTCCTCCCATTTGCCTCCCAGGATGAGATCAGTTAACTGAACACAGGCCATGGATTAAATAATGAGCATTGTAGGTCCATATGGGGCAAACACTCAATGTCTCTGCATTAAAAATCCATTGAATGTGATGTTTACCCATTTTAAATGCCTGTTCATTGAATGACATAAGCTGGGTAGCATAGAGGTTATGCTGGTGATGTAGTGAGCTGGAGTTGACTTCTGGCTGGGGAGTTCCTGCTCATTCCTGTGGGAAAAATGGACAGCAAGCGCAATCCTGCTCCAGCCAGCTGCCCTGCAGCCATTAGAGGCATGGTTGGGCATTAAATGGCTCAGGGCAAGAATTCTTTCCCCTGCTTTTAGGTTATAAAGTCTTAGTTAAGATGATCCAGTCATAGGCTAGCAATTGTCTGGTTTAACAAGCACCATCGAGTGCAGTGACCACTGTTGAAACTACATCCAATCACCAGCAAAGCCCTGGAGTCAGATGGAAGTTACTCTGGGGTTGGAGGGTTGAGGGGGACGGCAGTGAGTGCTTTCTGCAGTGTCAGTAGAGAAGACTAAGGATGTGTGGGGCCTATGGTGCACATGCCAGAAAACCCAGGCGAGGGCCAGACCTCAGTGAAGGAGAGCGGTGTGGGGGGGGGGGATGCCAATCTCCAACAGCTTCCTGAAAATGTGTTGTAGAGCAGGCGGAAGCCTTTGGTTGGTCATTTCAGTTGGATACTGAAGGGCCTTTATTGGCTCAAAGCCTTGGTGCCTTTCTTGCGACAGGTAAAGTTACTGTGGGTCTGAGGGTAGCAGATGGGAATTGGGAAAAGTGTCCAAGGCATTACGTGCAATTTTATGCCCGTCCCCACCCACTTGCCATCCCACCCCAGGGGTCTGTAGAATTCTGATCGGTAGGTCAGATGTCTAGGATAATAATGTGGAGATTTCAGTTCCAAACCCTTTCAGGCCACTGAGGAACTTAAATTCAAATAAATAACTTAAATACATCTGGACTTAAAATATGGTATCTGTAATGGTGACCATGTAAAATCCATGTGGTTCACTAAGGTCTTTTTAGGGGCGTAATCTGCTATCCTGACTCAATATGGCCAATATGTGATTGTCTTTTAACTGCGTTCTGAAGTGGCCACCGAACCACTCGGTTGTTTCAGTAACATTCTTAAAAGTAATTATGGAAGGGAAATGACGCTGGGCTTGCTGTAGAGACATACAGCATTCAATAAAAAAAATTGACTTTGACTTCTTGTTATTACTGCTTAGTGGCTTTTCCCCATTTCATAATAATTCCACAAAAAATAGCAAAACACTGGCTGCTGGAGATCTATAATAAAAACCAAAAGTGCTGGAGAAACTCGGCAGGTCTGTCAGCATCCATGGAGGGAGGTGGAGTTGAGTCCAAATTTGCTGATGACATCAAGCTGGGTGGGAGGGTGACCGATGAGGTGGATGCAGAGTGTGACTTGGATAGGCTGAGCAAGTGAGCAAATGCATGGCATATGCAAATATGGAAAAATGCGAGCTTATTGAGCTGGGTAGAAAAAACAGCAAGGCCGATTATTATCTGTATGGCTATAAATTGAGAGAGGGGAATGTGCAATGAGACTGGGGTGTCCTTGTACACCAGTCGCTTAAGGTAAGTGTGAGGTGCAGCAGGTGGTGAAGAATACAAATAATACGTTAGCCTTCATAGTGAGAGGATTCGAGTACAGGAGCATGGATGTCTTGCTGCAATTATGCAGAGCCTTGGTGAGACCACACCGAGAATATTGTGTGCAGTTTTGTTCTCCTCATCTAAGGAAAGATGCATTTGCTATTGAGATAATGCAGTGAAGGTTTATTAGACAGATTCCGGTGATGGCTGGGCTAACATATGAGGAGAGATTGAATCGTTAGGATTATATTCACTGGAGTTCAGAATAATGATGGGAGATCTCATGGAAACCTATGAAATTCTAACAGGACTTGGCAGGGTGGATGCTAGAAAGATGTTACCATGGGGGAGTCCAGAACTAGGGGTCACAGTCTAAGGATATGAGATAAACCATTTAAGACTGAGCTGAGGAGAAATTCCTTTACCCAGAGAGTGGTGAGCCCGTGGAATTCACTACCACAGAGAGCAATTGAGACCAAAACGTATGATTTCAAGAAGGAGTTGGCTGTAGCATTTGGGCCAAAGGGATCGAAGGATATGGTGGAAAAGCAGGAGCAAGGTTTTGTGTCAGATGAACAGTTGTGATCATCATGAATTATGGAGCTGACATATGAGGAGAGGTTGAACTGGTTAGGATTACATTCACTGGAGTTCAAAAGAATGATGGAAGATCTCATCAAAGCCTATAAAATTCTAACAGGACTTGGGAGGGTGGAGGCAGGGGTCGAATGACCAACTCCTATTTCCCATGTTTCTGTGTTCAAATTGGACTTGAAACATTAAGTCTGCTTTTCTCTCCACGGGTCCTGCCAGACCTGCTGAGTTTTCTCCATGACTTGCTGTTTTTATTTCACAATGATGCTCCCTTAACTTGCAAATGTGCCACTAAGCATGATAATAAAGCTATTATCTCTTTTCAGTTGGAAGATTGACCAGGTCAGTCTTTCTCCTTTCTCAAAATAGGAAGAAGCAATAAACTTACTAGAGATGTATGAAAAGTTGCTTAAATTACAAGCTATCCTTCGGAAGTTGTTCTATAAGTTACTCACTTCACTTACGGAAAGATTACATGTTGATGCACTTTCAATATTGAGTTCATGGTTTAAGAGCAGGAAAGAACCTTTCTGCCCCACAACATTCTTTGAGATAATGGCTGATCTATATCTTAATTCAATTCTCTTGCTTTGGCTCTATATCCCCTAATACCCTTAACTAACAATAAACTTAACAGTCTTAGATTTAAAGATATTAGTTGATCTGACTTCTGCTTTTTGTTTCTCATAGTTCGTCGTGCAGCCATTCAGTTTGGGTTGAAAGAGGTGGGTGATGACGAAGAATGGACTCTGTTCTGGACTGACTACTCAGTCTCATTGGACAAAGCCATGGAACTAAAACGCTACCAGGTAATTAGCTATCACTAACCTGCCTAGGATAAATAATAATTTTCTCAGTTTCTGTATCAACCAGGGAAAACTCACACATTTATGTAAGGGGATGATTCAGTTGATAAACAGAACAACTGTATAATTTGAGTTGTCAACTGTCAATCTGCTTTGCTTCTTGAGGCAGAATGTAATGGATCCAAATTTCACTCCAGTGTCTTGAGCACACAATCCAAGTGGACACTCCCAATGCTAAAGGCAAGGATTGCGGCATTATTGGAAGTGCTGTGTTTAAACTGAGAAGTTAAACCTAGCCCTAGTCAGATGCATGTAAATGATGAAAGGCACTGTTTAGAGAATAGAGGAGCTGTTCTCCCCAGTGTTATGTTGACTAGTTTATCTTCAACCATCATACCAAATAAGCAGGTTGTATAGTCATAAGAACATTGTTGTTTGTGGGATCTTGTTATACATAAATTGACAGCAGTATTTCCTACGTTATAACAGTGATGGATATTCAATTGGACCACTTTGGGATATGTTTAGCCATAAAAGGTATTACCAAAATAAAAATACTTACCATGGTCTCATGAAAAATCTGGAAGATTCTAATCAGCTGATCTCAGCTACCACACCAGTGGCACTAAGTTAGCTGCAACATCTTTAGATTGAGGTAAACAGGAGAAAACAAAATATTCACACTTGATTGTAATGGACTGGCTTCTGTTGAAAATATGAGGCATTAGTATAGATTGTGAAGCCTCCCATGGTAAATTAATTGCAAGAGACATAGTTGAAGAGTGGAGTCATGCATGAGGTACAAGAGGGCATCCAGTAGCTGTAGGACTGTACGTTCGCATTAGTCAGTGCGTCCAGAAAAGTAAAGGCACAATAAATGACAAGCATTGCTGTACACCTGTGAACAGGCAATAAGAATTGATTGCATTCTTTTTTCTGCAGAAAATTAATCATTTTCCTGGAATGAATGAGATCTGCAGGAAGGATTTGCTGGCTCGCAACTTAAATAGAATGTTAAAGCTTTACCCAAAGGATTACAACATTTTCCCAAAGACATGGTGTCTGCCATCTGAGTAAGTTCATTGAAGGGTCAGGGAAGTGAAGCAACTTCACGACACAGTGAGGATAGACTAAAGCTATACTTATAGGACACAACAAGGAAACAAACATTGGGCAACAGATTGGGTTAGAAACTGGACCTATATCTCTGGAAGTTTAAGTCCAGATAGAATGATGATCTCCTCAGCCTGTGGTAAAGATCCTATATGTTTTAGAAAGTCTGTAAACAAAATATTTGCAACCTTCTTCACAAAGACCATTGGGTATTGATGGAACTGCAAATTGCATTATTACATTGGTGCAATCATATTCCATTCCATGCTTACAGCTAAAGGACGTGGTCCAGAAAACTAGGGGAATTTTACTTACTCCCAGATGTTACTCAGGTGTTGCTTGACAGCACCATTGGGTGCCAGTAGCAGGAAACCTTACATTCCCTCTGGGTATGCTGAGTATCCCTCATCTTAAAAAGTATGGAAAAGATAGACAATTAAGCCCCATTAATCCACTTCACTTTCATCTCTGGGTACTTCCTACTGAATGACATGAGCTTTCCAACCTTTATTAAGCACCATAATACCCAAGGTTTGTAAAATATTCCCAGCTCTGGATCTATTCTCGAATCACACTTAGACAGTTCACAAGGCAAGAGAAGTCATCTTACTTGATAAGTAATTCCCTCCTCATCTCTCACCCTGTGTTTCTCCTATTCATGCTGAATTTTCATGCCCTGTGTTGTCGATTCACCATGCATTGTTTCGGTTTTAAATTAGTTTTAAGTAGTTCGTGAGCATTAGCTGCAAATTCACCTGTATCCCTATAAATGGATGCAGACTGAAACTGTGTACATTGCGTTAGGAGGTGTATGCTTATAGTTGTTAACTCCAAAAATAAATATTTATAAAATTGCTTAAAGACTGGCTTCAGTTCTATACTTTACCCGCCTTTTGGAATATAGCAACACCCCGCCTTTAATTTCTCTTTAGTTAAAAATGAATTGTACCTCACACTTCTTAGACATCTAGTCCCATTGCAGTAAAATCAAAACAGCCGCTCTTTCCAATTCATATTTTAACAAGCCCTCAAAATTGTTGTACTCTTGGATTTTCCATTCTCCCATGATCTGTAGGGTTTTGACTCCTTCTCTAAACCCTCTCTTTCCTCCTTTTAGGCTGCTTCTTAAAACCCACCTCTTTGATTAAACTTTAGTTTGTCATGATATTGCCTTTTGCTGATGTCCAATTTTGTTTGATAAGGCTCTTGCAGAGTACTTTGCAACATTTTATTATGTTATTCTATGTGTGAATTGAAGTTGTTGTTTTAAAGCTAAGCTTGGAACAATGTAACTACACTCTAGTTTAACTAACCTTAGCTGCTCTCTTCCCATCCCTTGTGATTGAATTTATACCTTCCAGAGATCAGTGGGGTTACTTTGATTTTCAGTAGAGATGTAAACTATTTGTCCTTTCAGGTATCAACATTTAAAGTTTAGAGTCAAATCTTCTGTAAATGTTCAGAGTGTCTACTAAGACCATCAAGAGAAACAGCAAATGGACTATTTTACAGCAGTCTATTTGCTTAGCTAATAGCAAAGCAAAAAAAAAACTGTTCACAGGCAGATGTCCAATATCTATTTTTTAACCCCAGCAGAATGCAGTGTGATGAGCACCAGAAAGTGAAACAACAGTCCTGAAGTGTTGGCAAACAAATAGAGTTGGGAGGGGTTATCTTGCATAGATTCCCTTTCTTTTTACATAGAAACATAGAAAATACAATTATCTGCAACAGATCCTTCTGGGCACAAATAGGACTTAGCTGTCATCCACTTGAATCCTGCCGAACCCTCCAGTGATGAAAATGGTCATCTTCTCCCCAACGACAAACAATAACAAAAAATCTATGGTGCAGAAGGCCATTTGGTTCACCGTGTCTGCAGTAGCAAAGGAAGAACCGTCCAGCCTAATCCTACTCTGGGTCATTGCTCATTGTTTTAAAGGTTGTGGCACTCGCAGTGCCTAGCCAAGTATTTGTAAGTGCGATGAAGGCTTCTACTGTGGCTACCATGTCAGACAGTGAGTTTCAAACCCTCATCATTAACCTACAAAAAAAATCCAGGCTGACAATTCCAGTGCTGAGCTGAAATGGTGCTGCATTGTCAGGACTTCCATCTCTCATGTCATTTTAATTTGAGGCCCTGTTTTCTCAAATGAGCTTAGAGATCCCACAGATACTTTTCTTTATTTCAAAATATACATGATTCGTAAAAACTATCCTATTGTGTATATAATATATACACACACATACAGAGTCACGAATGCAGTTCTGTTCCGTATAGTACCATATCAAAGATACACGCAAATGTTGGAGTTTGACTCTGTCCGAACAAACCAAAGGCATCTTTTACTTGAACCAGACTATGTTTGCATGCATTTGAGGCATCAGGATGGTCCAATAACTGAATGGACCCCCTACAGATACTAATGTGAACAAAAGTGCTGAAGTAATCATCGCCTGATGAGAGTCCCATCATTTCCTTGCTGTGCACAGCTTACCTCCACATTTCCTATGTGAATAACAGTGACTACAATCTAGCAGTGCTTGATTGGCTGTCAAGTGTTTTTGGATATCCTAAGTTTGTAAAACACATTGTAGAGATGCAATATTTTTTATTTTGTGTTGTTCTCTATTTCATCTGAACATGCTTCTTTCTACAGTTATCATGAGTTTATGGCCTATAGCAGAGCAAGGAAATCGAAGACCTTCATTTGCAAACCAGATTCTGAATGTCAGGGGCGTGGGATTTTCTTAACCAGAAACACGAGTGAAGTTAAACCAGGGGAAGACATGGTTTGCCAGGTTTACATTCCAAAGGTATCTTGCTATGCACACCACTAGTTCCCATTATATTTGCGTTAATCTACGAACATTCATAAAGGAGAATTCTTAACTGAATGGCATTGATTATATTTAATTATTCTTTCATTGGATGCCGGTGTCACTGGCAAGGTCAAGGTTTGTTACCCACCTGTAATTGCCCTTGAACTGAGTGTCTTGCTAAGCCATTTGAGAGGGTGGTTAAAAGTCAACCACATCTTCTGTGAGTTTTGAGTCAAATGTGGGCCAGACTGGGCAACAATATTATCCCAAAAGGATTATATTATTAAAGGAGATGGGTTTTTGCAGCAATCAATGACAGTTAACACAGTTCTGATCACTGAGACCAGCTAATGATTTATTAGCTGAATTTCTATTTCTCCAGCTACTGCATTGAGATTTGAACCTGTTCTCAGTGCCTTTGCCTGGGCCTCTGAATATGAATGCAGTGACATCACCACTATATCACCATCGTGAAGGAAGAACACTATAAATTTATTTAAAAAGATTTGAAAAAGTCTTGATATGGATTTTAATGGCTTAGCACTATTATTGACTGAATCTTAAAGGACATGGCTGCTAGACTGTCTCTGAGAGAGATGGAAAGGGCACACATGTGTAAAAATCTACTTGACCTTCACCTCATCACCATACTTATTGCAGATGCTTCTGTCCATGACCAAATCAGTAACAGTGACCACTTCACAGTTCTTGTGAAGACAAAATCCCAACTTCACATTGAAGGTACCCTCCTTCATGTTGTGGTCCACTAATACTGCGCAAGATGAGATAAATTTCAAGCAGATTTAGTAATTTAAACCAGGCATCCATGAAGGACAGCAGCAGAATTCTATTCAAACAGAATCTGTAACTTCATGGTCTGGCATATCACCCACCCCCCTCTACAGTTACTACCAACCATGGAGTTCAAGGCTGGTTCAAAGAACTCCTATCAGTTGACTCTCAATCATCAGTAAATGATGGAAAAAACCATCACCAGCAGCACTTGCTTAGCAATAACCTGCTCACTGAAATTTAGTTTGGGTTTCTCCAGGGCCATTTATCTCCTGACCTCATTATAGAATTGGTCCAAACATGGGTAAAGAGAGGTGAAATTCAGGAGGAAGGTGAGAGTGATTCTCTGCTTGTTGAAATCCTGCCTAACACAAAGGAAGTTGGTTATTGTTAGAGGCCAAGCATTACCGTCCCTGGATATCACTGTAGTAATTCTTCAGGGTCAAGTTAGATATTTTCCATCAAACTTCTGACATACCTCTGAAGCAGGCAGGTCTTGAGCCTGGACCTTCTGGGCCAGAGGTAGCGATTCTACCATTGTGCCACAAGAACCCGCTCAGGATCAGGCTAGTGTACTTTGCTCACCCATCTTCAGCTGCTTCATCATTAACCTTTCCTTCATCATAAGGCCAGAACTGGAAATGTTCGCTGATGACTGCATACTGTTCAGCTCAATTTGTGACTCCTCTGATAGTGAAACAGTCCATGTCCAAATGCAGCAAGACTTGGACAATATCCAGTGGTGAAATTCGATCTGATTTGACAGTAATTTTAAAACTAAAACACATTAACAAATCTAGGAAATGAGGTCATTGAATTCAAACCAGGATGGCTCAGCCTGTGTGGTTGAATAGCCAGACTCTGTTTGGTGCCCAGGCCTCGCCTGAAAGGATAGCATCCCTTTGTGACATATCCCCGTGCACTCAGTGCATGCACGTAAGAGGACAAGAGCAAGAGGGAAGGTAGGTTATTGACATTAGTGTGGCTGACACTGTCCCATATATTAATGGATTGAACCTTATTTTAACTGTTCAGCCTGTGTCACTTAAGGGACATCTATTGTCTGTTACTTCTAAAATAGCCAGTGGCTAACTGAATCTGGGAGTCTCCTGTCCCCTTTTTTTGGTGACCATATGCACTATGCCCATTGGATCCCTCGGGGTGGGGATTATGATCATCAGCACCACACAATCTTCCACCACCATCAACCACATTCCATCTCTCCCAAGTAGTTCCATGGTTAAAGTGTCCTTTGTCTTACTTTATAAGTGTCGATCACTTTGGCACAATGCAGATACAGTAGCCAATGTTCTCTCTAAGATGCAAAGATGTGTCCCAGCTCTGCATTAGTCTGGAATGTCCAGTGGCAGTTCAACAAAGCAATTGTGTGCATTAGATAAAAATGAGAAGGAATATTGACCATGTATTCATTGCTTTTAAAAAGCCAAGAGTAATGGTTTAGCTGTTACTGTACACTATCTACTTTCTATGCAGCCATTCATCTTGGATGGGTTCAAGTTTGACCTCAGACTCTACGTCTTAATTACTTCCTGTGACCCTCTCCGGATATATTTCTACGATGAGGGCCTGATCCGTTTTGCCACCACAAAGTATTCTGAACCTACAGACAGGAATGTAGTAAGTAAATCTGTTGGCTTATTGCTTAAAGCTACAAGGCATTGAAGTGGAGTTAGCTTGCTTTAAAATAAATATAGTTGGTCATTTTCCCAAGGGGATGATTTTAAACAAATTTGTCATGCAGCAAACTCAGGAGTTCTGGTGATATGTTGACTTTTCACCTCCAAAAAGGCTGAGAAACAGCAAATAGGAACAGGAGTAGGCCATTTGACCCATCAAGCCAGCTCCATCATTCAATATGATCATGGATGATCCTTTATCTCAACCCCATATTCCTACTTTCTCCCCACTCTTTAAATACCCAGTAGCCTAGAGAAGTGTATCTATTTGTTAACTATATAAGTGATGTCAACATTTTCACTGCCATCTGAGTAATCTCAGTCCAAAATGGCATACTGTGTATGCTGAGCCTATGGCTTCTTATTCTGGAACCCCAGGCCAGGGGAAAGAATATCCCTGTCTCCAGTCCATCTAGCACTGTTAAAATTTTGATCCATTTATTACTGTCACATGTACCGAGGTACAGTGAAAAGTGTTATCCTAAATGCTTTATAGGCAGATCATACTATACAAGTGCATCAGGGTAACAGAACAGAGTACAGGATACAATTTTACAGCTGCTGAGAACATGTAAGAGGTCCATTCAAAAGTGTGGGATCCATTCTCATTGTTGTTAACTCCAGTGAATAATGTCCCAGTTGACCTAATCTCACTTCAGATGATAAACTACCCTCCCAAAAATCAGTCTGCCAGCCTTTGCTGCACTCCCTCTAAGGCAAGTATATTGTTTCTTCATTTAGGTGACCAAAACTGCAAGCAATACTCAAAGGTGACAGACTTCCTTACTCCTGCACTCAACCCTTTTGCAATTAAGTCCAATCTACATTTGCCTTCCTAACTGCTTGCTGGACCTGCACGCTACCTTTCAGTGACTGGTATCGAAAGAAACCCAGGACGCTGTTTGGACATCAACATTTTGTGATCTATAACCCTTTAAATAATACTCTGTCATTCTGTTTTTCCAACTGAAATGGGAAATTTCTCACTTAACCACGTTACGCTGCATCTGCCTTATGTTTGCTCACTCATTCAACTTTCTAAAAGGAACTGGAGTTTCTTTACATCACGTTTACCACTTTCAATCTCACCTCTTTTTGCGTCATCACCAAGCTTGGAAATATTACGTTAAATTCCTTCATCCAAATCTTTGATGTATATTGTGAAAAGCTGGGGCCCAAGTACCAATCCTTGCTGTATCCTAGTAGTCACTACCTTCCTCTCCAAAAATGATCCATTTATTCCTACTCTCTGTTTCCCATCTGCTAACCAGTTCTCAATCCATTCTAGCATATTACTGCTAGTCTCATGTGCTATGATTTTGCATAATAATCTCTTTTATATTGGTATTTGATTAAATGATATCTGAAAATTCAAATGCACCACAACAGCTGGCTCTCCCTGATCTACTCTAGTAGTGATATCCTTAAAAAGTTACAGAAATTTGTAAAACATGCTTTCCCGTTCATCAATTCATTTTGACTTTGTATAATCTGATTGATATTTTCTAAATATCTTGCTGTTGCATCCTTTAATTTAGACTTTAGTAATTCCTGGTTTTCCCCCGTTCTTTTTTAAATAGTGGTGTTATGTTTTCTGCACTTCAATCTGCCAAGACTTTTCCAGAATCTGTAATACAGAGTTTTGGAAAATGACAACCAACACTTCCTGTATTTCTATGACCACCCTTTTTACCCCGATTTGTGGATTGCCTGGCCCAGGGGAGGCGATGGCCGAGTGGTATTATCGCTGGATTGTTAATCCAGAAACCAGATAAGGTTCTGGGGACTGGGGTTCGAATCTTGCCATGGCAGATGATGGAATTTGATTTCAATAAATATCAGGAATTAAGAGTCTAATGATGACTATGAATCGATTGCAAATTGTTAGGAAAAACCCATCTCGTTCACTAATGTCCTTTAAGGAAGGAAACTGCCATCTTTACCTGGTCTGGCCTATATGTGACTCCAGATCCACAGCAAAGTGGTTGACTCTTAACTGTCCTCTGGGCAATTAGGGATGGGCAATAAATGCTGCCCAGCCAGCGACCCCCTCTTCCTGTGAATGAATAAAGAAAAAAAAAGGGGATTCAACAGCTTTCAATCCCATTTAATTTCATAGAACATAGAACATTACAGCGCAGTACAGGCCCTTCGGCCCTCGATGTTGCGCCGACCTGTGAAACCAATCTGAAGCCCATCTAACCTAAACTATTCCATTATCA